TAAAGCCCATCCTAGTCAACTTTTTTATTATAGCATGACATTATGGAATAGCCATTGAACTCAATTTAGTCATAATTAATTCTCGAGCATCTCCAACTTTTATTCTTTTTTAATTTTTTTTATTATTCTTAAACCCAAATTTAAACTTAAACAAAAAACGCTTAAAAATCTTCTACAATCCTATACACAAACTCATACAGAATCAAAAGAAACTCTAAATTTTACGTGAATTAAAGGAAAGTCAAACATTTAGTTAAATCACCAACGGTTAAATTTTATTTTTTTTAAAAAAATTAATAATCATATTTTACCATCTTTTAAATTTGAATTTGTTAATTAAAAATATTTATATCAAATTAAATTTTTTACTCAAATTTGAAGTAACGTTAGAAATGCTCTCTTTTAGTACGGTACTTCATTCCATAGCACAAAGGGTTTAAAATATGAATAATTCTTTATACACCAAAATTTGAATTAAATTAATTATAGTTATTGGATCAATGATGAGACCTATGGATCTAACGGCTACTACTGATTTGGTACAGATTTTGGTACCGATAGCATTGCTCTCAAAATATTGGGCAAAAATTATCCTTAACCGTTGACCAAAGCATCTCTCTCTTTCCCACAACCCATCCCCACCAACCAGAATTCCAGCCCAATAAAGAGGAGACTGTCCAACCACTGCCTGGATTTACATGACACCACTACTTTGTGGGTCACGTCCAAGCTCAAGTTCTGGTTCTTAGGGTTTTTTTTTTTGTGGTTCTTAGATTTCTTAAATGGTTGATTGATATTTTATGTTCAACTTCACGTGGAGATGTTCAAATGACATCTCTAGATGTGTCACCAAGATTTTATTAAGGGTAAATTATAAATAAATATATAATTTATATTTGGTCCTTCAAGTTTTAATTGAGTTTCAATTTAATTCCTTACCTTAGGAATCACTAATTTATTATAATAGAATGACCTTTCGTGACAAACACATAACTTAGATAAAGGGATATATTGTTTAGTAAAAAAAATTCTATGCATAAGCTAGAGAAGCTTAATTTGTTTCATTTGATTTTGAGAAAAAGAAAAAGATAACAAACCCGGGAAAAATTTGAGAGATACTGTGAGACAAGATATAAAAATATCAATATATCTGATTGTTGAACAAATACAATATTATTGGCAAGTGATGTGATGTCTTTTTGTCGAAATAACTTAATAGATCTAAATAGTGGGACTGAATTAAATTTGTTTAAAATTTTAAGGATGTAGTTGTTGTAATTAAAACTTAAGGGACCAAATAAACATTACCCCTTTATTAATGGATACTCTGAGATTTTGCATTGGGGAATTCATTCAGAAATCAGTGGTAGTTAGAAAGCGTATCCAATAGAGTGAAAACATATCTCTCTCTCAGACTTATTTAATCAGAATCTAATCTCGATAAGTTTGACTTGAGATCTTCTTTGGTTTTGAAAATGGAGACAAATCACAGCATGATCACATCACCTAACATCTGATACTGCACACAATTAGTTAGAGAGGTTAAAATCTTAATCCCCTTTTGATCGATAACTTTTCACTCATCATTTCTCCAGGCACATTTTTCCCTAGTGCATCAATTCAACTATATGCCAAGTCTCTTCTAAACTTATTTCACTTGTGTTTTCTAAGGATTTCACTACGGTACCATCAAAAAAATTTCGGTACCGTACCTCTAAAATTTATTACTTCAAAAGATATTTTTACAATTTTTATAGGTTATTTTACAACTAAAAAATTTATCATTTTTTGTGATTAATTTATCATTTTTATAAGTATTTTTATCACTGTTATAGGTGTTTTTATTATATTTGTGGTAACTATTTTTACTGCTTTTCTCAAGTACAAAAAAAAATTGTCATTTTTGTAGGTAATTTTCTACGTTTATGAATGTTTTTATCATATTTGTATATATTTTTACCATTATTGTGGTAATTATTTTTACTATTTTTTTGGTACCACAACAATAATAAAAATACCTACAAATATAAAAAAAATAACTACAAATATGATAAATAAAGATATAATATCAAAAAAACTTTTCTCGGTAGTGTAGTCAAATCCGTTTTCTAAAACAAAATACAATTTTTTCAGTAAGTAAAGCAGAACTTGATTGATTGTCCTTCAAAAAAGTTTTCAACGGAAATGACTCACAAGCCACAAAAAATAGTGTACTATGCAATGAATGGGACTTGAGCTGTGATTGATAAGCTATCATCCACTCACGTGTGTGCGCTGTCGTGTGTTTCCAGCCTAATCGGTGCCCGGCTTGCTTTTGGAGTAGCAGACGATGCCAACGGCATCTAGATTTTGGTTAGTGCAGTTTCATGAACCCGCAATAGCTGGCGGGAAGGCACAAGACTTTCTTTGCGCAGCTGTGGAAATGGAGGATGCCAATCCGAAATTGCCAGTAGGCACAGAGTATCAAGATATCCAGTGAAGTTTTCTCTCGTCTTCATCACCACCCAAATTTATTAAAGTTATAAATACCAACTATTCAAAGAAAATTGAAGGATTAACAATGGTTCAGAGTAGAAGCAAAACACAAAAGCTAAACAATCATCAAAACTCGGATCAAGAACTACTTGGAAATTTTATTCATGAAAATTACAAAACAGAACACATTTACCAGTCAAACATTAAATAACACAAGGAGGTTGCATAATACAGTTCAAGAACAAAGGAAGCCTGTAAAAGAAGGGCTTGGTGAAAAAAACAACCCCTCCGAGAGAGAGGAAAAGGGTTGTCATGGCAGAGCAGACCAAAAGAGCCTTCTGCCACGGCCAAAGCCCCCGAACACAAGGCACCAAACTTGAAACCGCCAAAAGCAACCACAAGTAGAGAAATCAAACCAAACCTAAGAGGAAAGCAGAGACCCAAACATCACGTGCAAAACACATGCTCAACAACGTGGAAGACTCAGGTAAAACAGATAGTCAGACTGTAAAGACTCGAAAGCTGTAAACAAAGCTTAGCCTAAGCACGATTATAACCAATGCAAGGCTGAAAGCTAAAACACCAGGCTAACACCAAGCATCACAGAAGGTATAACCACTGGAAAACATCACAAAGATCCAGAACCGAGCATCTGCATTCTCAGGTAAGTATGACCACGACGAATAGACTCCCCATCACTGAGGGCCAAAACTCATCCAACAGCTTCCTATGGAGGAAAGCCGCAAAAAAAAGTGGAATTGGCCATCTTCCCTGGAAAAAGGATCCCATTAACAGGACTACAAGGACGGACCCACAGCTCATGGACCCAAAAACTAAATATACGACTGCTTCCCACAGGAGCTAACTTGGAATGCTGAAACTTTCTGATATGTCCAACCCTGTCATTCAGATCTGCCAACCCAATTTACAGGGTTCTTCATATCCTTCCCTGCTTAGTAGAGGATATTGCCCCTCCATAATCGCTCAACAAGCAAATCAACCATGCAACTACTGATTTCATGGCACTGTTGGATGTTTAGCCCCACAAGTTTCCGACCCAACATTTCCATATAAGGAAAGCTCTTGTCCGTTACCAAAGAACAACCTGACAGGGAAAGGATCTGCAAATTAAGCTGCGCTGCACAAGCCAACGCTTCAATGCCAGAATCGGTGATTGAACTTTTAGAAACATCAAGTTCACTCAGGAACAAGCAATTTTTTGCAATTGCCACCAAGCTTGCATCAGTCACAGAACGGCAACCATCAAGATTCAGATATTCAAGAGTCGCACCATGCAGCTTGGCAATGGCTGAAACCACTTTGTCTGTCAAGTTACCACAACCACAAAGATTAACCTTTGTCAGACCAGACTTACAGTTCTGAATGAGTGGGAAAAATCCCTCATCTGTTATTCCCTGAAGCCCAATAAGGTCCACACGCTGCAGTTGAGGGCACAGTCTACCCAACATGGCCAAGCTAGCATTACCAAATCCAGGACAGTTGCGGATAGACAAAGATCGCAGGGACTTGCAGAAAGACATCAAAGGAAATCCCAAGATCACATCCTTAATCCCCAAGCAGTTTGTCAGAGCTAGAGTCTTCAATTTGTCACCACAGTTTACAAGGATGCTGAAAATCCCAGACTGGGTAACCCTGTGGCACTGCTCTAATTGCAGGCTCTCCAGTGACCCTGCAGATTTGGCAAAGGAAACCAATCCATTGTCTGACATGAGTCCACATTTGTGAAGGCATAATTGCTTCAAATTTGGGCAACCTTTACCCACAGCTTGAAGCCCCAAATCAGTGACTCCTTGGCAAGAGGTAATTGCAAAGGACCTCAACTTCTGCAAACCCTGAGCATTACCCATGACCCAGAAGCCCCTCTCACTCACCTTTTGGAGGCCAGTAAAAGCCAGATCTGTAACTGCCTTGCCATAGTGTCCGATAACAGCAAGGGACACATCACTGATGTTCAAAGCCTGGAGCTTCACCTTCGTCAGGGTATGACTTGCTGATGATAACAGACTTGCAATTCCTTGATCCCCAACTAGTGGGCAGTTTTTGATTGAAAAGGAGCTTAAGTTGAGGCAGCAACGTCCAAAAGCTTGCAGGCTTTCATTTCCAATATTTGGACAAGACTCTAATGTTAGCGAGGTAATATTAGGACAGTTGTTTGCAATGGCCAGTAAAGCCTTGTCAGAAATTGCTGGGCAATGGCGAAGGTCAAGCTTCTCCAACAGGTGACACCCATTAGCAATCTCAAATAGGCCTTCATTCCCAATTGAAGAAACGTTCCACAGAGAAAGAATCCTGAGCGAAGGGCAACCACGAGCAATGGCCCTAAAGCCAAGGTTTGTAACTCCATGACTAGAATTGCTTCCTCGGATAGAAAGCTTTCCCATTCCTCCACGGCTACCAGTTCCAACGGCAATCGCAGCAAGTCTGACATCTGTTGCTTTCTTCCCTTCAAGGCATCTGGAAAGGTATCCATCACTCTCCACCTCTTCATCTTCAGCCTCGGGGTTAACTCGAGTACCATCAAAACCCACATCCCCACCCTTCTTGATACACACCGAGGATTCAACTGCCTTATTGGAAATCAACCTTTCCTCAGGCTCCACAGACTGAGCAGTTATGCTGGCACAGATTTCATCCCTGCGAATGCTACTTAGGAGCATAAGCCAGCGTTTGGACACAAAAGCACAAGAACTCCTAGATTGGCCCCCAGGGAGGCGTCTGAAGACCTCAAAGAGGCATTCATCGGGAAGAACTTCAATAGAGGGTTGCTTCTTCTGCTCAAACCTTTCTCCACTGAAGACAAAAGGGGCACTGATGCGAGACCTCTTGCGTGGAGGAAAATACACATCCACATGATGCCCAATAGACAAAAAAAGACTAGATTCCTTTGGATTTTGAAATATTGACCTCCCAGGACAAAAAACATCATCTCCTGAAATTCAAAGATCCAAAAAAACGTGAGTCACAATTTTCAAAAGAAATTAGAAAAACTTAACTAAATTGAACTCCTCTCAATCTACACAAGTATGAAGCTTTCCAGATCTTATGCAATATCAGACAAACATATTTGTCTTACATAAGCCAGGTAGTTCCAATGACAGACAGATCTGAGTTTTACATGGATAAATGCATAACGCCGTGAAGCAAAAAAATTTACATGATTCTTTCTATACATGTTCAGTTTGTCGCCAACAATTTACAATCACATGAAACTATATCAGTTTTACATAAAATTCATAATGCCATGAACTAAAGAGACTTTAGATGATTCTTTCCAAACATATACATGAGTTTTTTGCCAATAATTTCCAATCACATGAAACTATATACCTATATTTCCTAGGAAAACTAAATGATCAGCGCGGGTACTGATAATTTCAGAAACGTTGTCCGTGACATACAATTCATAAGCAACAACTACACAGAACTCATTTATTTCAACAATCCCCTTCTTCCATTTATCATTAAGGGGAAAAAAAACAACCAAAAAGATTAGGAAAGACATAAACTTCAAGAGATGTGCAAGGCACTAACCACATATATCTTTGACACTTCATATATCTGATTCTAACACCTTTTACAGATCATCATCAAATCGTCAATTTTAAATCTCTGAAATTTCAATTATCAGAGCTGTAAATTCACGAGTTCATGCAATTCTACCAGAATTTCAGAATCGAAAAATAAGAGGGAAAACAAAGCCAGATACCAAACCATCACATAAAACCACCAAAAAAAATTCAGTCAGGCATAGACAGATGCCATGTCCAAATAAAGAACCAGAAAACATGCGGCTATATACATGTGAAGACATATACGTACACATGCATCAAGTCAAAGAGAGTGCAAGCAAATTTAACTCAGGGCATAAAGTTGAAGCAAGACCCAGAAAAGATTTAAGATCATACCACTGTAATCGAAGATTTCAGACATGGGTACAGTTGGAAAACCCCAGGGAAATAAAATCTCAAGCGTTCAAGCCCAAAAAACCCTCTATCAAGAGCAAAAACAACCAGATCAACCAACAAAAACACAATCAACGCAAGGTATAGAGCTTGAAACACTGAATTCATCAGAAACAGAACGTCAAGAGGTCATCTGAAACCCTATCAGATAGGGCAAAAAAAGGAAAGAGAGGTAGAGCCAGAGAAAGAGACACGAAAGGTGGGTGGATGCTACAATGTATGTGGAGTTGTGTGTGCGTGTTATCTATCTTTTATTGCAAAGGTGGGGTCTTTTTTTATTATTGTTAGGAGAGAGAAAAGGGTACATGCAATGAATCCATTCACAAAACCGTCATCTATGTTCAATGTCTTCATTGAGTGAGACAGAGTATTCATTCCCCCCAACCATTGTAAAGAGATTTTCTGCTTTTCACATTAATATTGGTTACAAATTACTCAAAAAACGATCTGTCATAAAGATTCCAATTTTTTTATATGACAGTACAAAGTGAAATCTTAGTTCTGTAAACTTATAGAGGGCTACTCTGACAAGTTTAAGGTATAATTTTTTAAAATTTATAATATAAAATAGAGTAAATTTTAATAAATTTATTCGATTATTTCAAATATATTCATACAACGATCACAAATATTCCTATTAAATTTTCACTGTATTTTTAAGTACGAGTAACTCCTAATATAATTATAATTGATCAAAAAATATTATGATCAATCATAAAATTCATAACTTTTAAATAATATGTTGCACCTTTTAGTTGGGGTAATTCGTAATCATAAATAATATTTTATAATTGATTATGAATAATTTCAATCTACTGTAAATAAATTTTTAAAACATGTAATTTGATCATAAAACATTGATAACTTTTAATCAGATATCGATTATTTTTTTGTACTTATAAAAAATAAGTAGAAGCCACAAGGTGGTTTCCTTTCCTTTTCTTTGAAGGGAGTGTTTGCAGATCGGCCATGAAATTTTACTTTTGGTCCAACTAAAAGATGTTATTTTCATGCAGTTAGTCACTTTGGTCCGAGTGCGTAGCCGCGTAAAAGCCGGCACTTGACACCCGGTCAGCGGCCCATCGCCTAACCCGGTGGGTACTTACGTGTAGCTTTTGAACAGTGTTAATCCAAAGGACAAGATCATCATACTTTTGACCCACCCCATCAAAGCACCAATTAAAAACATCATAATTTTTATGTAATTTTGATTTTGGTGTACTCAAATTCTTACTTAAATTTGAATAACAAATTAGGTAAAAGGCTTATTTGATATGAAGTTTTTCAATTGATAAACTCATTTTTACACTTAGGTTATTAAAAAATAATAATAACTTTAACCTTAGAGCTCTTTTCTTTAATTTCTTTATTCCAAAAAAAAAAAAAATTCGATGAAGTTCTTAACACAATTAAGCAGTACTATGAATATAATGAGCATTAAATAGTTAAATTTGGTTCAGTCTGAACTCCAAGACTCTTGGGAATGGGGTTTGGGAATATGTGGTTAATCACACAATGTTTATAGTGGTTCACCAGTTCAAGAGTTATATTAATCCAATGTCAAGTGAGTCTCTTGCTCCTGAATGTATTGATTACTATGAAGTTTACAGAGAGTATTTTTGGTGAGGCTACAATGGCTTGTCTCTTTCAAGGGTTATGCCTCCTATTTATAGTAATTCTTGGGTCTAGTTTGATCTGAGGTGAGATCCTTGCCCCTCCCTTATAATGGTCGCCTTTATTGCACAACAGTTGCATTAGATGTTGGGACAGTTATGAGATTTGCGTCTGCTGAGTAATTGTTGCTACAAGGGAGTATTTGGTGGGATCCAACTGTCCTCCACACAGTCTTCCTCGATTTGTAGATACAGGAAGTTTGAGGTCTGAGATCAAGGTCTACAAATAATGTAGATGAGTTGAGCCTCCGACCTAAGTGTCATGATCTGCATTACTGAGCTCAACCTTAGGCATTTTCACGGTACCATCTGTTGCCCTTCTGTCCCTAGTCAAGCAGAGCTCTATGAGCTGGGACTGAGCTTTGCCTTAGGTGAGTGAGGTTGCCCTGGACAGAACTCGAGATACGCATGATTGGAAGTGTTTTGACAGTTATTATGAACATGCAATCATTTTCTTCTCGTTTCTCGTGCACATTCCTTTCTTTAAGGCTCCACGTGTCTGTCCGTATGCTTAGCCTTAAATGCATCATCAGATAACCATCTCTTTCATTATTTCGAAACCCTCTTCGTCTCCTCTCTTTCCAAATTCTTCTATCTTTCCTTCCTCTTTTACTCTCATCTTCCTCAATTTGCTGAGGATCTAGCGTTGTGTAGAAAAATTCTCAATTTCACTTCGAAGATTCTGCGAGGCTGGCTTAATTCATTCAAATTTTTTCTTGGCTCCTAGTTTATCGATCGTTCTCGGCTAGGTACGTTTCCTTTCTCTGCTCCTTCTTATTCTTTTTGTTAAGCTTATTTTCGTTCTGGATCCCTCGAATTCGAGGTGGTTGTTTAATTTCTGGACTTTTCGCTTCTGTTACTTTAAGAACCGAGGTCGTTTCTTGTCCTTCCTTGCTCTTTTCTTGGACCTTTATTCTATTACTAGAGTTTTTCTCTTTGATCATTGGTGTCTCGACCCCTGATCTTTTAGGGATTGCTTTACTTTTGTTTGCCCCCCTCTATATTTCTTTCAATCTTCCTTTCTCTTGTCCAACCATTTTTGTTTCCTCTGAAACCACTACTTCATCTATTTCTCTTACCAAGAGTAACCGATCTCTTGAGCTAGAAGAGGACAACCTGGGGGAAATGGATGTTAAAATAAACAATTTTCCCAGTGTCCATTCTGCTAACACTAGAGAAGAAGCTGAGATCCCTAAGTCGGTATCTCCTACTCCTAGGCTTAAGGAGTCTCAAAAAAGAAAATCTAAAGTGAACAGCGTAAGGGTTCTGGCAGTGTTGGGGGTACAGGCCCCCCCCCTCAGAGCCCCTTTTGTTGGGTGTCCTTTCAGCCAGATTTGGTTTCCCAAGGGGCATGCAGTACTAGTCTCCTCATGTAGACATTCGATATGACTCCGAAGTCCCAAATAAATTTTGTTTCTTTGTGGCTTCATTTGAGAATGGTCTTCGATTTCCTATTTATCCCTTCCTTAAGAGTGTCCTCCAATATTTCAACGTCTACCCTACGTAGCGTTCTCCCAACTTCGGGGTGTTTTGGTGGGACTTCTGATTTTCTTTAAGAAGAATAAGCTCAGTGTCCCCACAATATCCTTACTCATGAAATTCTTTAATATCAAGGTTACCCCCTCTAATGGCTTCCTTTATATTGTTAAACGGATGAAGACCCAAGTCATAATTACTGACCTCCCGAGCTCCCACAAGGAGTGGAAAAAGCTCTTCTTCTTCACATCTAGAAGATAATGAGAATATAATCCCAGAGATGCAGCTGATACACTTTTTGTTCCTCGGGCTTGGTTTGCGCCTCATAATTTGGGTAAGTCCTGCTTTGGGAGGTCTTATGCTAGTTCCTCGTCCTAGAACTTTCCTTTACTAACCTGATTTATTTTATCATTTTCAAGTATTCGCCCCGAGCAGTACTAAAGATAGGATAGTTCTATTGGATTTAGAGGGCTATGATCTAGAGAAGTATTTTCAGCTTCTCAAGCCTGCGGTGCTTACTCAGTTCGGGTTTAGTCCCCCCGAAATGAGGGTTGGGACTCCTATACTAATATCTATGGTCAGTGCTGAGGATCTTGCTGGTAATATTATTATCTTCCTTTATCTCTAGCTTTTTTTTTTCGTTGACTAGTTAATTTTGGCTTCTCAGGTTTCAAATCTATGGTTCCTGATGTTGACGTTGTGAGGGCAAAGATTGTCAATCTCAAGAATAGTAGAAGTGGGGGGGGGGAAGCGCAAGGCTGATGTCAAGTTTGGAGGCGAGCCTAATCCTCCTTCAAAGATGCAGAGGATAGAAGTTTCTATGCCTTCTCCTCCTTCCCAAGTGATCCTTTTACCTCCACCGACCTCTCAAAAAGTTGCATTGATCTCTCTTTCTCAAAGGGTCTCCCTTCCTCTCATCGAAAGGTCTTCTGGACGTGGTGGGGCATCATCATTTCCTTCTTCAACGAAGGTTGCTGAGGCTTTGGAGGCCATAGTTCCTCTCCTATGAGGGCCTTTTTCTTCCCAACCCGTAGAGAAGACCCATCGCTTGCGTGTGAATAGCTTATCGGCAATGGTCGAGAAAGGAAATGATTCACTCATTAGAGACGTGGGCCTTGCCGCTAAGACCATTGCCTCATTTATTCTTGAGTTCGATATTGAGGAGGCTTCGACGATCTCTTTACACACATCTGCTATTACTGCTTTGTATGCAACAGCTTCAGTAAATCTTGATTTCTTTAAGTTGTGATTCTGCTTTGAGCTAAGGAAATTTTTGCTGACCTTGACTTCTTCCTGTGCGTTTCTCAGCTGGTCATTCACATAAGTGATCTGGTGAAACTGGTCCAAGCTCTAGAAAGTATAGCTGAGCAGGCTCAGAAGTCTTTAAAGGCATCCGAGCTCAAGGTCTCTGAGCTGGCCTTCGCCAATGACGATCTCAAGGCCCAAGTACATGACCTGAGGGCTCAAGTTATAGGGCTGGCTTTAGCGAACAAGAGCTTGGAGGTTAAGGCGGAGAAAGTGAAGGATGAGCTCAAATTGAAGACTATCAACTTGACTCAGGCACAAAAGGAGGCTTCTGAGGTCCTTGGCTTTCTCCTTACTTTGAAGAATGAGTATATTATGCTACCCAAGATCAATTCCATGTTGTTGGATGAGATCAGGGTGGAGAGAGTGAAGAACTGAAAAAAGATGCTTAGATTACAGAGCTTAACGATGAGGCAGCTACAAATTGGGCTGCAAGATACTTCGCCTTTTAGAAGCAGGCTATGGAGAAGTGTCCAGACCAAGACTTTGACTTTGATCTTCCTCTTGACAAGGAGAAGGGAAAGTCAAGTGTTGAGAAGGAGGTAGAGATCCGGCTCCTACTGCTCTTGGGGTGGAGGAGCCTATAGCTGGTGATGTTCCTGTTGAGGCAGAAGTAGAGAGCTCTGAGGTGACTCTACCCCCTACTGATGTTGAAGTTCCTGCTTTTTGTCCTAACTGAGGCTCCTCTCGACCTCCCCCTAACTTTTTCTATTCCTGAGCCATTTTAAGCTTTTCTTCCTACTGCTTCTTCTGATGTGCCTGAAGCCACTGTTGGAACATCTGTATAGATTTAGGATTTTTTTTATTTTTCTGTGTACTTAGAAGA